TGTAAGGAGGAGGTAAGAACAGCCATGCACAGGAGAAACCACAGAACCGAGACCATAGCAAAGCAAATGCATTTACCAGATTTTAGTTAGAGTTTATGTAGCCCGAGGCAGATGGACAAAGGCTTTTCTTTCTTAAACACTCATTTTGCAGGTTCTGCTTCAAAGGTGTTCAGGGTTCCTATCAAATCGGGTTTTTATTTAACTGATTTCTAGTATTTTACTTGTTTTTCCAAATCCCAGACAGCATCCTACCAAATGTAATACAGCTACTTCACATTAAAAAGAATGTCAGGGGCTCCAGTTTCAAACTGTTTGACTGCCAGCTACAGTGACTAAAAAGAAAAAGTCCTCATAAAACAGATGCCTTATTGGTACCACAGACAAGCATTTAAAAAAAAAAAACTTAAAAAAATAAATCAGTATTTGCTATCCTAGGGAGCTGCTGAAAAATCCAAGGCAGAGCAAGTATGCTTTCCAGTATGAGGAAGACTCTCGAGTGCTGATTCAAAAGCAAACTGGAAAGGACCTCTAGTGGGCTGACACCGCAGTGCTGGGGTGCCAGAGAGCAGTGTCCTTCCACTTCACCTCCCTGCAGTTCCACACACCTACGGCATCACTCACCAAAGCCCCATACTTTTACCTAGTGACTGGCACCCGAGAAAGCACATACAAGTGCAACGACAGCAGGAAGCCTCGTTATCAGGCCAGCTAATTAGAAACATTCCCTCAGTCTGCTCTCAGCGTTTGGAGGGACACACTTTCACTTGCTTCACAAAAAACAGGGGATGGGTTCTGTTTTATAGGTAGGTCACCAACATGTCAGACCACTTCAGGGTGGTTTAATGTGGCCTACATGGCATGACATCAAGGGATGTTCAAAGATGCACAAATTCAGATGCACATTTCGAATGAGGGTTCAAATATTATGCAGAATATTATTCAGACTGTGTCAAGGCATTTTATTCTTCCAAGACTTTTTAGCTGTGGGCAGTTTTGCATGGGCAGCAGAAATACCATTTTAACTGCATTTTTAAGGTAACTCCTTCTGGGTGAAAGAGCTTGGAATTCTTTATCTGAGCTCAAACAAGGCATAATTTAATACGACATGAAAACAGATTAGTGAATGTATTCAGGAGAATACTCAGATAATAAAACAGGACAAATTAGAAAGCTTATTTATTAGGCATCCCAGTTAAAAAGAAAATAACTTGTTTTGAATTGAAGTTGATGATTCACCTCTAAGTCTTTAAAAGACTTCTCTTGCTATATTTAGGTTTGCCTTCAAGTCAGATTGGTTTTATCATTTCCCAAAGTAGCCTAATTTACATCTTCAGCATTATAGGCCATAGCTTAGCTCACTTTTAAATTATCTAAGCAATAACCTCTCTTTCAGCAGTTACCCTCAAAGAGTGTATCAACTTGAGAAGGATCACAAATTAAAGCTGACATTGTTAAGCAGAGCGATGCAAGACAGCTGCTCGTTATTATTCAAAAATAATATCACCTACACTGCAGTGGTGCTCCTTGTGCCATTAAGCAGAGTGCTGGAAGGGAAGCAAGCCATTTTACAGAGTGGTGGCATGAAGAGAATAATACTTGCACTTGGAGTCTGAGGCTAGAAGAACAGCAGAATCTGGTCTGTCCTTCACAGGGCAATAACAGTACTGCCCTGTCGTCACTGAAAAGCTTGCCTGAAAGTCACTTGATACAAGCATTCATGTAGAAAATAAAACTAAACCAAAGACACTAACAAGTCCATATCTTATCTGAGATCTGAGCAAAAAGCAAACAGGGTCTCTCAACCTGAATCTTTTTGGACCAACCACCACCCACTAGGACCCTCACTAACAGCAGAATAATATAACTTATTTTGAAGTCCACCTAGTTTCTTCCTGTGTCTTTCCAATGATAAAAGTTTTAATTTACTGTCAAGACAGCTGCAATTATGAATGTTTTATTATTACTATTCTGGCCATGATTAATAATCTGGGGAAAAAAAACCTCAAACAGAACTCAAAGTATTTGTAATGGCCTCAAAATTCCACTACCTTCTGTGGAAAACACAAACTAGACTCCAGATACAGTAAAATAAATGTTAAACTATTGAATTTTGCATCATGGTGACACTATTAGTTAGAAAAAAAATTATTCATTCTTTCATGTAGCAAAATCCCTATACACTGCAATGTCTTTCCAAAGTATGTTCCTACCTTCCACAAGGAACAGAGAGAAGCATCATACTACAATATCCCTTACTTCCATTTTTCCATCTCCAAAAGTCACACTATTTTGCTTTCCTTCCACTAATTGTGGAACTCTCCAGAGTGCAGTGAGCAGGAATTGTTTAGATCAGTGGTCTCCAAAGCGTAGTGCATGCAGTCCAGGGGATGCACAAGATAATCTACTGGAGGGCCATGAAGAAAATAATAAATTAATATTTTAATTTATTAATCAATTATTAATTGTTTTTTAGTTAAGAAAACAGTATTTTAAGTGAAGTTTATTTCATCTTTACCTCATCCTTTTTAAAATTTCTATTGTGCATGTTTCAGAGTTTGTGCAGCATTACAGTAGAACATGTCTATATGTGATGTCACATACAGACATCTATATGCACGTCACACGCAGGGAAAAGTTCTCAAGTGGGCTGCATTTCTCAGTTATTAGCTGCAAGCTTAATCACAGGCAGCAGGTGATTTTTCAGAAACAGTTAAGTGCTCAGCTCACACTGTGTCTAGTAGCTCAGCAACTCTTAAAAATCCCATGAGATTCTGTTTGGTATCTAGAAGCTGCCAAAGGCCATTCAAAATCTTATTCTGGATGATTTAAGTTCAGGCCCATTGACTTTCAAAGAGATTTAAAATTCTAAATACATAAAATTCAGTTTCCGCAATAACTTATGCCACTGCATCGCCTGGCCAGTTTTCTAATACAGATGGAAAAAGTCAGTCTATTTTTATTTAAATTCCTTTCAAAGATTCACAAAAAAAAAAAATCCCTGCTAGTCACTCAACATTTTTCTTTTTCCTTCTTAAAATCACCTACTAAAATATTCACTTCATTTCTGTAATGGCCATGGATAAGTATCAACTAAGTGAAACATTAAAGTTCCTAAAAACTGTGGGGAAGTTTTACTTAGTGGATGTGCACTATTAAGAAATAGTGAAGCAAGGTAAACCATGTTGACAAGACCCTTTTTTTTAAAAACTAAGGTTATCTCGGCTAATGTCTTTTTTCTACCATCTCTGTTCCAGTGAGAATGACACTAAGCACTTTATTCAAGAATTATACATTTTGAGATAAATTCCTTTACTCCACCAGAAAAATTTCCAAGCAGCACATGGCGTTGATTACAGCTCTGAAATTTTCAATATATTATCCTCCAAAATCAGAGTTTAAACATTCTTTTTTACCTCTGGAGTAATGCAGTTTATTTATATGACATTTCTCTCATGTACTCTGATGTCAAACAATGAATGCTATAAAAAAGAATTCTTGACCAAATTGTTTTTCTAGTCATGCATCCCATCCCTCCAAATTCTTGCACCAAGAGTTCACAGTATATGATTATTAAAACAGACACTTTTCTCACAGAGCAAGAGACACTACTGCATGACTGCTTCAGGATTTGCAGCACCAGTTTAGTAGAACACTTAAGCACATGCTGACCTCTGGGCATGTAAGAGCTCCATTTCAATAGAAGTATCCAAAAAGCAGAAATACACACATGCTGCCCCTGCTAATACAACTCTGGCTGTTCTGTTTGTTCTGTGGAAGATTTCATCCTCTTGTTAGTCTTCACTATCACTCCACACAGCATGCAACAGGAGAAGTAAATAGCTCAGACTGTTCACATGTGAACACCACAAAACAGTTTCGGATGTCTGTCTTACCTTTCCATCTCACTTACCTTTCTCTCCTGCCTTTGCATTTCGCAACGGAGCAACAATACAAATGCAAGTGACTTTCATCAACAACCATCCTTTTCCACATGAATGTCATTACCACCCAACCTTATCATCTCTTCCTAGGAAAGAATCTAACCCTACAGCCCTATGCACGCAGGAAGCTTCCACACTACCCTTACTGGAAAGGTTCCCAGGAAGGTACAGCTTCAGTGTAAAATATTCTTTCATTTTGTCTTCAAGGAATGCTCTTCTTGCCTCTTTTAACTGATCTTTTCTAAATATTTTGTGTGTTTGACCACAAACACTTACACACATACAAGCCAGCTTATTTTACTTTATTGACTTTCTTATGAACACGATTTTATTTGTTCTTAAAACATTTTACTAAAGAGCAACACAAAAAGCTAAGCTCACTCTTGAAGTACAGAAAGGCTAGTACAGTTGTGCAAAGCTATGTAATTTCTTTCCCTTACTGCAAAGGGACTGTGTTTTCTCAAATTGGATGGAAGAAGCAGCAGGTGGTAGGCTATGTCTGCTCTTAAGAACCTGGGAATGGTACACATCTATGCCCCCCATGCCTTTCAGACAGATGCTTGCTCAGGATTATCTTCCCCTCTCCCTAATTACTGAGAGTTTTGCACATATCTTCCTGCCAAATATGGTCACATATCTTGGAAGCTGCAGCCATATTTTCCTACCTCTTTATTTTCTGAAGCAAGTTTTCCATCAAATTCTTTTCTCTCCAAAGAAGATGTCATAACTCACGCAGCAGAATGATCTTTAGAAGCTCATATATATTTTGGTATACCAGTAACCTGATGATGCAGAGAGGCTGTGTCTCTCTAGTGGGTACATGCAGGTGCTATTGCATTTATGAAGATGCTAGGCCCTCCAATGTATAAGCACAATAATACTTCAGGGACAGAAGCCAAAAAGTGTCCAAGCTTATCATTTTCAAGAGACAACTACTGCTCAGGTGAAACTGCAGAACTCAGCATCCAACCAGTACCAGTGAGGAAGAACACTGTTTCCATGCAGTAACTACAATTTACTTTCTTGGTGCCACATGTTGCTGTTTTTTAGATATCCTACCTGTTTGTGCCACCAAGTGGGACCAGCCACTCCAGACTGCTGCAATCTTCTCATGTGAGAAAAACTGAGTCGCAATCTTCTTGGGCTCAACAAGAAAGATCTCTGTGCTCACTAGCTGTCCATGTTTGTTGCTACCCCAGACATACAGGTGTCCTTCATCTACAACAGACGGAGAGAGTAAAATTACACATTACTGACAGTCATCTGCAGGACTTCCCACATTCCCCAATAAAACACCACAACTGAAATGAAAAGGAAAAGCAATTGTTTCATTTGAATTCTGCACTAAACTTGATAAATTCCTTCCCAGAGTGAAGTACATACATCTTCTGGAGAGGAGAAAAGAAATAAAAACAAACAAAAAAACCACAAGAGGTGACAAAACCAGCTTGTTTTAACAAATTAAAACATTATGGTCATTCATGTTTCCACAACTAACATGCAATGCCTCTATCACCTCCTTTTCTTCTCCAGAAGGTGCGTTTCCTGTATCCTGAAAAATGTCACATGCTCAACCCTCATCTAATTTTTTGATTAGTTTTTAACAAAAACTTAGACTCTAAAACTTAGTACCATATTCGCATCACTGGAGGTTTCAGGCCCATTTGGATACAGATAGACTACGTTCCTTTTTTTAAAAGGAATCACCATTCATGTTTGCAACAACCCTGCCTGTGTCAAAAACCTGCCCAACTGCAGGTGTTCAGTATCCTGCCAGCAAGTGGCTCATGAAACAGAGCCAAAGAAAATTGCATCACAGTGTGAGATTCCTAGAGAAAAATCCCTATTTAAATACTATACCCTGCAGTAGTATCTTTACTATATCAAGCATCTTTAAAACACGAAGTATTTTAAGTAATATAATTATCTTGCAGGATGAAGGGCAGCAATAGCATGACTTTATTAAAATCTTTGGCACTTACTTTGTTAATCTTGGTTAATCTGCTGCCAGACTGCTCTCAAATGCAAAGCAAAAGCATGAAAGAATAATCTGCTCACTCTCTAAATACAGAGTGCTAATTAGCTAAAGTAGATTCTATTTGTCCTTACAGTTCCTCTTCACTAATCGCATACACACTTTGCGTCTCAGAATTCAATGTAATTTACATCTTGTAACATCTCCCCATACAACTACATCTCTGTAGATCTGCCTAAGCAAATACTCCAGTGCTCCATTCAGTGATGACAGAAGTACCAGATGGCTGCACATTTGCTAAGAACTTTTTCCTACAAAGTTTGGCAGACTTGTCTTCATAAGGTTCAATATATTTTCCACACTTCCAAACTGTAAGATTACAGCATGAAAAGCTATTATGTTTCCCTTTCTCCTAGTTTGCCAAAAAGAAAAAAAAAAAAACAAAACAAAACAAGCCACCATGCCACTTTATTAGACTTTCATTACTGGATACTTAATACCTCAGCATGGGAGCACTGCCTAGAGACCAAAGAACATGGCAGATGTTATGGAAGTGCCTAGGCAATTAAAGCAACTTCCTGCTGCTTTGAATAAGCCTTGTGCTCTTACATTACCTCACACAGGTCTGCACACTGTTCTCTTAAAGCCAAAGATAGCTCCAGACCACATCATGTCCCTGCACAGCACAGTCCCATGCAGAGGCATTAGCTCACGTAGAAGAAGCAGCACAGCCACAGAAGTCAGTCTTGGGACAACCACCTAACATACCCTTCCTCCATGGACAACGGGTTGAACTGGTTCCAGCACTCACCCACCCAGAGTCACCTAACGCAGCATCGTGCTGCAGCCCCAGGGACTTACCCAACTGTGTGCCTCCACAAACCCTTCCAGAGTTTCTAACTACTGAGAACCCAGACCCTCACTTACTCAGAAGGGCTAAGTCATGTCTGACCCCAAGAAAAAACACACAGAATTCAAAACATTAATCCAGTTGGGTTTAAAAAAAAAATTTTAAAAAATAAAAAAAACCCTCAGAATCCAAAACTAACACAAAACAATTAAGCAGCACTAACAAGGTCAGATCAAATTTCACCAGCCTAACCAAAACTGACAAACATTTCCAAAGCACATAAACCTTTATAGGCAGAGACAAGGATTTCTGCTTTGATACCTAAGGCCTACCTGTGAGTGACACTGAATGATAAGAGCTTGCAGCAACTCTCTTCACCTTTACATCTTCCAGGCCTAAGGAAAAGGTAGTCTCAGAAAATTTGTACAGCAGGTGTCATTTCATACACAGACATAAAACAGAGATGAATTCTATAATAAAAGCCTCTGCTTTTGGGCCACAGACATTGTAAGACTCACTATCATTTTCCCCCATGGCCTATGACCTTGTACACCCATTCTATCCTCAGATACTCCGCTACATGTTGATAATACCAAGTGGCTTTGTAATTAAAGGATGCCACATGCCACTCCAAATTATATTTCTGCTCTACCCACCTTTACAAAGGAATCAGATTCCTGGATTACCTGTTACTTCCCAGGGCTCCTTTGCTGTCAAGAACAGGGGGAGGGTTGTTCCTGGGTTTGCACGCTTTGCCCGAGGCGCCATGCCAGTTCCCCACTGAAACACCACACCACTCTCTTTCCAGAGTAAACACATATTAAAAGAGATTAAAACACATCAACCACGAACAAAATCACTTAACTCATTAATTAGTTTTAAAGGTATATTCACTTCGTTTTCACTGGTTCAAATTACACTTTAAAAGACCTTTCCACCAAAAACATATTTTATAAACATACAGATAACGCTGGTGAATTTATCATGCAACAAACAGTTGTAGTCTCATTTACACAGGTAAGAAAACTAAGCAACCTGTCTCAGCTCTCTGAAGCCTCTGTCAGGACGTTATTGAGGACTTGGTAACAGAAGTTCCATAGCTGTAGCGCCTCAGGAACGGACACAGTTTATTTATTACTGTAAGTAATTGCACTTTCTCTGCCCTCTCATTTTCTTCACGCTAATTTGTTTGTGCAGTCCAGCACACAGAGGGAGTAAAGTCACTTGTCTTCTCCTCAGGACCTTTCAGAGACTTGACCTAGCCCTGAATCAAGACGTCCACTGAGTGCACAGCTTGCTTAATTCCCAGTATCTGTACCTGCACCAGAGATCTCACATTTCTTCCAAACATTCTAAACCCATACTAAAGTTCACATAAAATTAAATCAGAATAAAAGAGCATGTATAGTTTTTTGTTTCTCAGCTGTAAAAAATAAAAATAAATACAAGCTAAAATAAATTTCATCTTCTTTCCTCTTCCCCTCCAAGCCATTTAAACTCCATTTCATTTATTACTGCAATGATGTAAGAATGATGACATATTTACCTGTAGCAGCAAGGGCATGTCTCAGTCCTGCAGCAACATCTACCACCTTCTCTTTAAGAGACTACTCAAGTAAAAGAAAAATATATTTTAGTTGCTTTTTTGCATTTAGTGCCTCTAAAAAGCAAAATACAACAAATACAGAAGTAGAATGTTAGGAAAATAATTCTCACAATTCCAGCCTGCATGTCACAAAGCATATCAACATTTTGTATCACAAAGGAAGCAAATTTTGGCCAACAAAAATTAGTGATAGCATCTTCAAAGAACAAAAAAAAAAATATCAAACAAAGCAACTGGATGTACAACTTTATGGCAATAAATAAAAAGCCACAGTCAATATACTCATGTGAAAGAAGGAACCTTTTTGGCAATACAGTTACGTTTATTTCTTAATTTTAACTCAGAGTTCCTCAAGAATTACATCAAAACTTCCACAACAAATACCACTGACAAGCAGTAATAAGTTCCACCAAGCTGTTCAGTCTTACCAAGTCCTCTGATCACAAACAATACAGTTGATAGTGCCATCTACACCACGGAGGGTTGCCCAGTACGGTCATGCCAAAGACGACTACACCAAGTCACACGTGCATCAAATGAGTTTGCACGAGGTACTTCAGTCCTGGCAATTCTGACACTTCTCCACTTCTGCAAATTTATTATTCTTCTCACAGATGTAACACTATTTAAAACAGTGGCAACAAGCCCAACCATTTCACAGGATACAAATCAAAAGATAAAATATTCCAGATAAATGAATGGTCCACATGATCAGGGAGGACACAGCTTCAGATTCGCACTGTCAATACTCCATTTGCAAGGCACTGTAGTGGAATAATGCTCCCAGGAAACATCAAGGATACAGAAACAACAGGTGAGTTAACCCCTGTTCACTCGGGCTACCTAGGGGACCAGCTGTCCTTCCTCTCCTACATTAAAAAAAGCAAAGAAGTATCTGACATGAGCCATGAGGTTAAATTTCTTGTCTGAGAATCCTTTCTGCTCTGGAGTTATTGCTTTCATTAGACATGTGAGGTCATGTGGATGGAAAAGAGTTTCATTAGTGTTCTCTAAATAAGAAACTACAGCGTAAATTAGGGATTAATTAGAATTCCTGTGAGAAATTTATTTAAACTGTTAGGCTTATAGCCAACAACAGGAAAGCTTTTCTGATGCTACAGAAGTCTCAGTACCTACTACTGAAAATATTTTAAAGTAATCAATTTGGGGCTACATTCTGAGCTCCCTACTCACACTCAGCAGCACCTCACCTACAAGTATCACCACAGACTTCCACACGACTTACAGAACAACACAAGCTGTGCTGTCAGGGTCCAGCATTCAGCATTCACAATTAAAGACACCAAACAACAGAGAAATCGTTATCTAACTTTCCATCCTATTTCCTTGGAAGCTGATATTGTTTGGTAAGTACTGGAGATTAGATAAGAAGCAAGTCAATGTACTTGTCAGTTCCTTTACATGCAAAAGTAAAAATCATTTTAATCTAAAAAGTGATAAAGTTTATTCTCTCAGGTCTAGCTTTCCTGCAGCTACATACTTTCTCACACTTCTATTATTTTTGGGGTGACAAAGCTTATTTTTATCAAACTGGTTTTAAAATCAAGAAATAATACCACAGTCCTCATTTGAGGGGAAGAAACTGACAGTTATACACTTGGAAAAACAACATGTACTTAAAAAACAGAACTGTTGCACATGAAGCAGTAGAGCAAAAGAACTGGCATAGCTAACTTTGTTAACTCCAACATACAGTTTGTTTTTTTTCAGGAGTGGATTATTGTTGGCTCATTTTTGTTTTACTTTGAGTTGTTAATCAAAAACCTCCAAAGTACAGTGAAGACACATACCCTGCACGTAGCAAAGCACACCTAGTATCTTACAAACTTAAGGCAAAACTTCAGCTGGAGTAAATTTGCAGTTTCACTATGTTTAGTATCACTTCACATCAGCTGAGCATTAGACCTATCCTACAGACTTTATCAAAATACATTATGAAACATTATAATCGCTAGTGAAAGAGACAACTTTCTGTTAGAAGTGGGCAACTTCTTCATACAACAAGAAAAGCAGCCTTAGCTGCTCATTTCTGAGTTAACAACCACCTTTGCTCCTTTTCTTTATAAGTTTACTGTGACAGATAGACTCTATAAAATATAGTTGAAGAGTCTGGCTTAAAGCCCAATGAGGTCAGACAGCCTTTGTAAGCTCCTGGAAGCAATATGAAGTACAAAGCTCTGAAGCACAATTCCTTTTAAATCTTTACCTCAATCCTTTGTGGAACCAAGCACGGACCTGATATTTGAGGAGCTCCTAATTGTCCAAAAGAGTTAGACCCACAGGACAGAACTAGGCCAGATTCTGCAAAATTAAGTGTTAGATCCCAATCAGTAAAACTGTGAGCAAAAGCAAAGCACTGTAACATTCTAAGAAGCAAAATATCACAGCCAAGTAGCTTAAAAAAAAAAAAAAAACAACAACCTAATGTGTCCCATTCCAAAGTCCCTGAGGCCATAACCTTCTGGTCTTACACACCACGTTCAGTAAAGGTCTGACATTCACTGGGACACAAGGAACATGGAGTAACTTAGTTTGCAAGGCAAGTAGCTTAAAACCAGTGAGTGCCTGTGCATCGCACAAGCAATAGCAATGTGGAACTTTCAGCGTGTTCTCTACATCAACATATTTCTCCAGCTCTAACAGAGATATATTTACCTACTAATATGATCGTAAAATCCCAGCCACAGGCAACTTGTTTGACACAGAAGCCAGACAGGGCAGTGCACAGAGTAAAATGCAGCACATCTTCTGTGTGATTCAATCCCAACTGCCCATCTTTGTTCTGGCCACATACAAAGAGTTCTCCTGCACCTGGAAGAAAAAGCAAAACAACAAAAAATTATGTTCCCTTGCAGAGACTAAGAAGACAAGCACACATGCCATGAGACCCTGTGACAAACAACAACGGTGATTAGGTGTCATTTTAGGCACTGCAATCAAGCAAAAAGAAAGAGAAACAGTTATTTCTGAAGCATCAGAAATGCCTCTGAACAAGCACATCTATGGAGAGTTGGGTTTGTCAAGGAAGACAATCCATATGTTAAGACAGGCACCTCTCACTAAGATCCATGATGAAGTTTTTCATCCCATTCTCATCTGCCTGTATCCCTTCTTTCCCATAATCAGCTATGGCATACAGCAGAACCTTTCAAAGACCAGATGCTATCTTCTGCTCCTGACCTTAAAACTTCTCAAGACTGAATAACCTCTCACTTGACTCTTCCCTCCCTCCCACCCACCCCTGTCCTCAACACAAAAAAACTGTCTGCTTTGTGTGAAAAGCTGTTATATCAAACAGGCTAAGAAACAGTCCTCACATAGCCAGAAAGTAACCAGAGATGATAAGCAAAACAGGAATTTCCCCAATTTCCCCAAAACACTGAGGTAATCGGCATGGGAGAAACCTGTTCCTCAACTAAGAATTGGTACTTGCTCAGAATCAGAAGTCCCAGATAGGTGGCAGCACCAAATCAACAGGGAAACGGGAAAAAAAAAAGTGTTCAGAAGTCATCCACTCCTTACAAGTGCAATGTTTTACCAGTGATAACTGCAGAATGTCCCCCTCCTCCAGTTATGCTTTTAATATCTTGACATTTGAAGGAAACATCTTTCAGTGACTGAGGTACCAGAACATCCTCTTTATGACCAAGACCAAGTTGTCCATAGCTGTTTGCACCCTTCAAATACACACAGAAAAATAACACATTTTTTTTTAAAAAGTTAACAAAAAGAGGTAGACAACTGCTCCTAATTGCAAACAAGCTTATTGGGTACATGTCACAGGTTAACCTGATGGTATTTGCTCCTGAAAATCTCCCAAAGTGGCAATCTTCATTCTTACTGCTGTCATGCAGGACCCCCAGAATTACAGACCAGGACTATCCTCAACTTGCTGTTAAGGCTGCCCTTGCAACCCCAGCATTTTAAGAAACACATTGGAACATGTCTTGGTAAGACTTTAACTGTAGGCTAACAGTTACTAAGGAGGAAAGCCTCATTATCAGGATGATTACCACCTGTTTAATTTTAATGCTAATGATTCCCACTCATCACTAAGATCTTATTCATGGCAATGCTTTTTAGAAGCCACCTCCAAAACAAGAACAGAAAGATATGCTGCCTTCTTCTGGAATCTAAGTAAAGCAGAAACACTTATCCCTCATTAACTAAATCTTTTAACTTAAAATGGTCAAAATGAAAATATAACAGTTATAATTATTATAAATTTATAAGAACCAAATTATAGCCACTAAACCAATCACAGAAAGTAATCATTGACAACGTGGTAACGTACCAGGGAATTTCTTAGACAATTTAAGCTCTGTTAAGTGTCCAACAGTTTGAATAGCAACCTTCATCCACAAAGGTGGATTCAATAACTTACCCAGCCCACACACTGCAGTGACACCCACATTCCCCCCAGCTGGTGTTCCCCAGGGGGCACCTTCCCTACCTCACCTGCGCTCCCCTGCCCAGCTGCTCTCTATTCACAACTCCCCATCAAAGATGCAGCACCAGGTATATCTTAAAAGGACACATTTAGCAATAAACATTTTGCACCTACAGAAACAATATTTTAGACAAAAGCATCAGGCTGCTCACCTCAGCCCAGAGTTAACAGGTGGATGAGATGCCAGGATTCAAACTCAACAGGCAGACCAAGTTGTTGTCTCACAGTCACCACTACTGGCAGATTTAGAGCATGTTACTACTCAACAGACATAATTCTTTTTAGAAGGCTTGTCACAAGCTCTCATTTTAGCCTATAACAAGCAATGAATTTTCTTCAAAAACAGGCAAGCTGAGATAAGGTGCAGAAAGAAAACAGGCACCTGAGGAACCGAGCAGCACAGGTGTCCATCCCAGCACCACCACACCTACCTTCAGGTGGCCTTCCCAGACAGAGGGGTTATGACACAACATGGCTACTGCAGGGTGAGACGAGCTAACAGTGAAAAGAGATACCCGTTCTGTGGCTGAGACCCGCTTTGCTCAACAGGTAGAATCACGGCTCTGATAAACCACCAATAAAACCCAACAAACAAACCACAGCAAACTTTTTT